GCAAAAACACCACGTGCAATTAGACCGCCTTCTGTCAAAGCTTTATGGTCATACACGTCACAAATGAACCAGCTTGTCTTACGATCATAGAATGGTCTGGGTTGAATGGGACCTTAAAGATCATCTAGTTCTGATTCCCCCCTGCCATGGGCAAGGACACCTCCTACTAGACCAGGTTACTGAAAGGCCCATCCATCTTAGTCCTTGTTCTCCTATTGCAGCTGTTCTGTGACTGCAGGATGGGGTCACTTACATTTGCGATGCCAGACTGGCTACCCGGGGTCTGGCAGCAGCCTGGGGAAACCAGCCTCCACGGGGCCATGGCTGCAGGCTTGCAGAACAAGGCACCTTCCACCATCCGCAGTCTGCACGGCTCTCTGAAGAAGGGAGTGCCCATGTCGCTCTGTGAAAGCAAAGCCTTTGTTGCTTTTCTGAAGTAAAGGTTGCCCAAGTTTGTGTCTGAACAGCTTGTGGCCAGCTGAGGGTCCCATAAAGGTCAAAGTCATGGCCCACTAAGTCAGCAGGACCCAGAAGAACCAAAGCTTTCCAAACCAAAACTCAGACTCCTTTCTTCAGGCACACAAATAAATATTTAAGAGACCCTGCTTGGGAAACCGTCAATCCACAATTAGCAGAAATCGGTAGGTGATTCAAGCTGAGCTGGCTTTATTCTGTGGGGAGGTTGAACATCAGCATGAACAGATAGAGAAACACAAATTTCTGCTCTTTGCTTCATCTGCTACATCTGTGCAACCTCCTGAGCTCTTGCAGTGGAGTGGAACTGGAAGGCTCCCTCACAACTTGCCAGGAATGCTGCAATGGAGATGGCATGCTGATGGACAGGGACCTCCTTGAGCACCTACCTGTTTGGGCAGAAAACTGGCATTTCCCATCTCTCATCCAGCAAAATATATTTTCTAATTACAAATTGAACACTAATTGTGGATAATTAGGGGGTTTTTGCCACTAAAGATATCAATGCAAATGCTTTTAACAGGCTTCTTAATTTTTTAAATAGAGCAATTTAGGACTTAATTATTGCTTGAATTTGCTTATAAATATTTGTCTCTATTCCAGGTTGCTGTGAGACAATGTTAAGGTGATATTTTCTTTATAAGCTTTTGGGAAAATATACCAGTACATTAGCACAAAACCAGAGAAAGTGTTGTCTTTGACAATGTTCCTCTTCACTATGAAAGCCAAAACAGACTCCTTTTCCATGTGAATAAAACATTCACTCCATCCCATTACTCCAAGGCCAGATCTTTTCTATATTGCATCAGGTATTTTCCTTCAACTGATTAATTACAGTGTTGGTAGCTATAACAAATGAGAACATCCTATTCTTATCAAAGATGTTTATCAAACACACCTGCTTGATTTTGCAGAACATCTGGAGCTGATCCACTTGCTGCCACATTGCTCAGGCTCTGGACTATTTGTGTCTCTTCCAGTTTGTCTTCAACAAATGTGTACTCAAAATACAATTTGCCTGATTTGAACTGAACACGCAAACATGTGTCCTGGTTTGAGGTAAAGCAGAACCAGCTTTCTGAGCAGTAATTTTACTTCTTAGCTAAGCCTCTTCTAACTCTTTGAAATTAACAGCATATTGTGCAGAAAACTGTTTGTTCTCAGAGTGATAAGACCAACGTTTATAGTTCATGCCAAGGAATGGTTTGCAGAGAGGCTCTTGCCTATACTTATTACTATAACAATCAAGGTCAGCAAACTTTGTTATTTGCCCTGCTGGAGGGACAGAAACAGAAAAGCATAGAGGGGTTATACCTGTGGGGAGGAGAGGACAGGTGACCCAAAACTGACCAATGAAATATTCCATCCCATCTGCCCCATGCTCAGTATAAAAGATGAGGGATCAAAGGGTCAGCTCTTTCTCTTCAATGGCCAATATCTGAGGAGGACCCTGTCTGTTCATCTACCTTTGATCCTGATTTGGGTGTTCCTGACTCCAGAGCTGGAATCCAGTTCCCATCTGTCAGTGAGTCCAGTCTAGTACTTATCCTGTACCTGCCAGTGATGTCATCCTGGGAGCTTGATATTGTTCTGTATATATTGTAGCTATTTTTTTTTTTAAATTAGTAAATAATAATATTATTTTTTTATTTCATTAAAATAGTTTAGTTCCTTCTAAACTGATAAGTCTCTTAATCTCTCCCCCTCCTCTCCTTGGAGTGAAAAGTTGGGGGAGAGCATCTGTCATTGGCCCATTCGACCTAAACCATGACAACATGAAAAGCTGCACATGCAACATCTGTCTGAAGAGTTAAATTCCAGCATTCCGGCAAAAGAAAGGTCAATTTTAGACAAAACACCCATCCATACTTCTGATACCTTTTTCCTCGCCTGGATTCACTTACGTTGTCCAATACTCCACTATTTCCCCAGCTCCTTAAGCTGCCTGTGGCACTGGATACTTTCTCTGAACAGCTGGCACTGACTCCTTGATGCACAAGCATTTAATTCAAGCCATATTGGCACAAAGCATATTAGGCAAGGAGAGCTCAGAAGATTATTCTACTATTTGTGGAATTCAGTGGTGGGGTCTGGTTCTATCAGGAACCCAGCACGTACCATAAAATATAGATTAAATTAATGAGCATGTATCTGAAAGGAAACTATACGTCTAAGAGGATTATTTGTATGAGCCTGTTAGAATAATGCAGATAATTATGGGAGCTACTATTCATTTCTCATAACTTCTGGTTTGCTGACATCTGCCTGCCTGTTTCCAAGTCAAGGCTTTTTAAACTCAAGCCATAGAGCAGGATGGTAACATACAGAGGAAAGCAATTGAAATTATAATGAATTCTCTGTATTATTAATAAAAACTTTCTTACAGTTTCATGGCAAAATCCATGTTGCCAATGAATTTCATGGCAACACATTCACAGCAAATCTTACTACCAGGCAATCAGTCAGAGAAGGAAAGAAACCCATTCTCTCTGTGATAAAGCAACATCTGTCCCATCTAAAACAATGAGAAATTAGTAAGTTAATTACTGTGCAAGTCTGATTTCCCCCTTGTTAATGTTATCTGCAGTCAAAGAATAAAGTCACTTCCTTTGTACAGCGTCTTGGTATACATATGGCACAGTAAATAAAGTACATACACCCCATAAATAGGGAGGGGAAAAATAAATAAATAATGATGCTGCCTATCAATACTCTCTTCCTCATTTTTCAACCTTTTATTCTTTCAAGGTGTATACCTGGTACCTGGAGCAGTTTCAGTCCTAGCAGGAAAGAAATGAAAAGGACTTTTCTTCAGCCACACAATAGTCTATTGTGCTCTCGAGACAGTGGGATACTACAGCTGGGAGACAGATATTCCTATTTTCTGCGAGCTGTTACTATGGCCATTTATTTCTGGTGCTAGGCTATAGAGCATGGGAAGCATTTGCAAAATATTTTTTAAAATCCTATATTGCTACATCTGTCCCCGAAGCCGGGGTAGTTTAACTGCCCAGTGGTTTGACAGTCCCTCCAGAACAGACTTGGCGCTTGGAATATCCTCCCGCCACTTAAGGTGGAGGCAAACAGAAGCTTCTTGTTCACTCCAGAGCCATCTGTTCAGTAAAGCAACCTCCTGACACCATTAGGAGCTGCTTGACGAAATGGTGTCCTTATGTCACCTTTGACCCCACGCCGTGGCACACTTTGCAAATCTGTACAGATGACATGGGAGCCCAGCGTCGCTGATCTGAGGCAGGAAGCAGACCTTACCCTCCAACTCAAAATTTGACATTTACATTCAGATAGACTCCATCCCTCAGCCCTGCGTGTGCTTACACTGCATCACGTGCAGCTTATTAAAATGAATTATGGGGACATAATTCCAGGGTGTTTAAACAAAAGCTTTAAGGAGTAGTTATTTGTATTTCTTGTATAGCTCTGAAACAGTTTAACACCATAATAAAGACTTCTCGTACTCTTGAATGCTTCAAAGAGAGTTTAAAGGTGTTTGCATAAACCATAATATGGCCTGTATGATACAGCAGCATTTGTGTCCTCTCCACACTGAACAGCCCTTTGTCTGGTGAGGAATTGTGACCATCAGCTGCCCACTGCCAGGTTTCTTACCAAGTGAAAACACACTCATTCACAGTTCGGTTGTTAACATCACACCTTTTTAAAATCAGAATATAATCAGGCACTCAGAAAGCTCTGCCTTCCTTTTACAAGTATTAAAAAAAAAAAAAAAAGGGAAAATTAATAGATGGGAACTGAAGTTGCAACAAGAAAAGTATGTTATATGTCATGTCACCGACAAGAAATAAAACCAGAAACATCTTAGTGACACATGAGGTCAAGAACACAAAGCTGATGCTACTCCAGCACCCCACACTAAGGACATTACTTTCAACTCTAAGGACACCACAGGGGTCAAAACTAGCTAAGCCCAAACTGATAATGGAATACAAGAGCCTAGTTCAAAGGCAAAAGTCATCAGGAATCTTTCAGTGCTTACCCCTGTGAAATTTCTGGCATAAAATCTGGAAGAAATGAAGAAAAGCATACTAATCTATGGGAAAGGGTTCTAGAAGCACCATAGTGGCTTTAATAAGTTACGGGGGGGGGGGGGCGGGAGGAAAGCTATCTGTTAATTCTGAGATCTCTAAAAAAAATAAAATAAAAAAAATATATATAAAAGAAAAAGAGAAAAACACAGGGAGAAAGGAGTCAAGAATAGATATGCAGTTGGTGTGGTATTAGCAGAGCTGTAAGAGGTATATAGCACTCAGAACATTCCCCCAAAATTGTCACAGTATACTGGAGTATATAAAGGTTCAGTGGCTTGGAGGTTTTAAATTAAAAAAAATGCGTGTGTATAGAAGAAGATTGTACAAAGGATCTTACCTGATCTCCTCCTACAGCAATCAGCTCTCCCCAGGGTTCAGAGGTGGCTTTAACATCAGAATTGAAAAGAAAACAGGCATTAGGCAAAGCGCAGCAAATGTGACAGAGGGCAGGGACACAGCTTCCAGTAAATGCTCTCTTTTATTAGTTAGTTCATCAAAACATTTCAGTTTTCTCTGCAAGATCTGAATCGGAGCAGCAATACAGTCCTTTGTCTACTGTAACATTTCCATAGGAGTTCACATGACAGACGTCGTGCACAGAACCAACTCTTGGTGTGTTAAGTCACACAAAACCCAGACTGTATTCCTAAGAGCAGGAGCCAGAAATTGCTTGTAGTCATCTTCTCATTACTCAGCTTCGAGCACCACACAAGAAAACAAGAAATTTCTTAGGGAAGAAAAGTGACCTTGTATTATTATTATCTATTGATAATTTATAATCACAGAATGCCATGCTCTAACGACAGAACTATTACAGTAACTTTGGTATAACGGGGTTGGCCATTAATTTTTGATGAAGTTCGTTTATTAGTATTTTTGGTAAGTGTTTAGACATAAGAAATTTTTGATGTTCTGATAGACTTTGTATAGAAATAATCTTAATTAAGTACCCAAAGCTTTAGAAAGTATTTTGATGAATATAAGATCTGATTAAGACACACAGTAATGAGAGAGGTATAAGAAAATGCAGTAAAAATATATAAATTTCAAGTGCAAAAAGAAACACCATTATTTCTAAAGAATTCAAACCTTTCTTCTCAAAACCAGCTCTCTCTTGCCCTAATAAAGCTAAAATACCAGCCTTTAGATAGGCAGTGCCACTATTCAGCTGGTAGGTAAGATACATCTATTGCACTAGAAGTACAAAGCTAAGAAGAATGCATATTATTTTATTTTTAACCTTATTTACAAAAAGATATTGCACCAATCCATTGTCCTTTTTAAGTTTAACATGTTAAGGAAAAAGCTATTATTTACAAAAGTTAAAAAGAGAAGTGCAAAAGCAGACTGAAATAAACCAGAAAGAATAAAGTTTATTTAAATTGCTAAGTACAGCTTATTACCTGACCAGAGCCCACATCCAGTATGATCTAAAATAGTTTGTATCATAGATATCTGTAATTTTAGAAATCCTTGCATTTCTCTGTAGGTACAACCCTTATCTTTTACACTAACCACCAGAAGGCCTACATAAAATGTAAAGGCTAACCATAGCTTAACTTATGAGCTTTATTTCTCCAGGGAAGTGACGTTCCTTTAGGTAAACTGAAAAAGCTACACGGTATTATACATGTATTTGAAAAGTAGTGATAAATCAGACATGATGGTTTTCATTCTTCCTAAAAACCATGAGGAAAAGTTTGCTGATATTTCAGAACTGATTATTCCAAAGACACAGCATACGGTCCCATCTCAGCCTATCTGCCACTGGGACTGTCATGATGCATTTCTGGGGTATAAGTAAGTAGAACAATCATCACCCAGAGATGAAGCAACGCCTGGGAAAAGAAAAGAAAGAATTAACTTCTCAGCACTGACCATCACCTTTCACAGCAGCAGTAAGTATGAGAACTCTCAATGAGAGCTAATAGAATGAAAATATTTTTACAAAACTAGGTTAAGTATTTTTCATATTATTCAGATGCTCCTAAAAAAATAAATTCCTATTTGCACAATGAAATGCTGAGTCAAGATTCTAAAGAAGCCATTTGCAGAAAACTGAAGATTTTACACAAACAGCAAAACTAAATCTGTAGCAAACCAGGCTGCTTTATACCCTCTGGCTTCGCTCTCCCTCCGTGCCCCAGTGACTCCAGCTGCTCTCTGAGACTCAGCCCCCAGCCAGACCTGTGTGATCTGCCTCGAGTGACGGGTCAGTCACTACTCCTGTGCCAAGTGGCTGACACCAGACTGTGCAAAACAGCTGAGTTCTGCTTTCCTTACCACAGGCACTGACTTGAGGCATATTTTATGAACTTTTTTTAATGTTAATTCTCATTTGAATTTGGCTGAAGCTATCCAATTAGAATAGAAGTTGCTGGGGGTGCAACAAGGGAGATAACTGACAGAATACATAAGCCACATTTCCTTAAAAAAAAATATTAAACATTCAAGTTACAATAGTCATAGTCAAGGTTCAAGTCAAAAAAGGGTAACTGCCACTGACTGCCCAATATACAGCTCCTATGCAAACATCATTGAATTTCACTTCAGATAGCAGCTTAGCTGGTAGAAGTCTTCATTGTTTCAGTACAAAGCATTTTATTCATATGTTGAAAAATCTTAGTCATGAACAGGAAGAAAGAGAGGTTAGGAATTAAACATCCCTGTTCCTTCCAGCACCTAATAGGCTGGAAGAAGCAATTGCAGGGGGGAACCACCATTTCCTTTATTCATGTGTGTCTGTCTGCTTTATATCCTGAAATAGCAACAGCTGCTCTTGGAAACTCTGTTCAGAAGAATCATTACGCCTTCTCAAGCAACATTTTTTTTTCATTTCAAAGACTCAAAGGCTCAACTAGTGGAATATTTTTCAAGAGGGAGACTGCAAACCTGCCTTACCCCAGGTCACTTAAACTGACAGACACCTGCCCTCCAGTGGAAAAGGAGGAATTTGCAAGCCTGGCAATCTCATGGGGTACCAGGGAGCAACTCTACACTTTTCTTGCCACTTTTTCCAGCTACTAGAGAAGCGTGATTATTAGTCACTGAACAAAAATTTAAGTGCCAAATATTAAAAAAGCTATAACACATTATTTTACTAAATGCAGTGCAGGCAGGGGTGGTGGGTTAACCTTGGCAGCAGGCCACTATTATTCTGTATTTTAGTACTAAACCTCTACTTTTATGTAACTACCATTTGAAAGACTGTACATGTCTTTAAGACTGCTATACTAACAATTCCTGGGAAAACTGAAAACTGCCAAGCAACAGGACTCCAAAAGGCTCTTATGTAAGTACCACCTAGTCTGCTTTACAAAAAAAGACACCGAGTTGTTGAAGTTAGTTATATAGCCTTTTGAACATCAAACATCTTGCAATTTAAGAAGTATTCTATAGACTGGCTACAGAAATGTTGCATTAAACTTCTGACTTTAAAGAAAGCTTACTCACCATGTAAATGATCACAAAGACTCTGGCTATGGGATACCGCCTGAGAAAGATCCCCAGCCGAATGCTACGCAAGAGAAAAGCAAAACACACGAGTTAGCACTGAGCAATAAATTCCTGTGCCTCTCATTCTAATCACCACAAACTCATCAACATCAGCTGATGTTATACACATGGCTTTGTTTCTGACTGAATTTTACTTCATGTACTCAAGACATGAAATGGAGTGAGAAAATTCAGAATTCAGCTCATAAAACATGTTCTCCTAAGTTTTTCTGTTACATCCTAGCCTCAGAGTGTGAAAAAGAACTAAGACTCAAGAGTTGTACAGGTATTTTAAAGCTCACAAATATGCTATATATTTATCACATTTTGTTACTTGAGGAGCTGTCATGAATCATTCAAAAAAATTTAAGCAACTAAAACTTTGGATTCCTTTGAAAAAAACCAAAACAATCGATCACTATCACTCTTACATTTCATCAGACAAAAAAGACCTGGGTTTTCCTAGTTTACTCCTAGAGTGCTACAAAGCATCCTGCATTAGATGTGTGCTCAGTAACACCTGCTAAAAAAACCCAAGCATATACTGAAGTGAGTGTGATACTGGCAAAGGAAGTTTAGTATTAAAACATCACATATAACAGGTCCCAATCATGGAAATCCTGATATTCTTCACAATGAAATTAATGTAGCTTGGGAGCATAAAGGACTTTCTCTTGCTTTCAAAGCATTAAGAAGCATTACCACATTTTTTTTTTTCTATTGGTATTTGATTCAAGTCTTGCAACAGACCTTTCTTTTGAATATTGACAATTAACCTAACTGCTCAGAAAAGGATCAAAGCAAGTCTTTTGCTGGATCCAGAGTAATTTTTGTTTACTAATGTCTCGAACAGATTATCTTTCAAGACAAACAGCTGCACTGGGTCAGAACCCAGAATCTTGTCTTCATCCAAATGCCCAAAGAGGAGTAAAAGAAGACATATGCTACTCCTCCACTAATACACTCTTACAGTGTTTATCACAGATACAGTCAAAACCTCCAGAAGTGAAAAATGTACAGGATGGTAAAGTAAAAGGTTACGGTTTTTCTGCATAGTTTAATGACCCTTTTGTATCAAAAATCTACAAAAGCATTGTTTAAATAATTGACCATAATTTGCACAAGCCCAAAGGATATTAATAGCATAGGAAAGCACAAGTGAGCTAGGCCAATATTTAGTAATTTATACTGTACTTTAGCTTTATTATTTTTTACTTTTATCTTACATAGAAGCAATTCAAAGCAGAAGGCAAAAAGATTGCAGCAATTACAAAATGTATTCCCTTAGGACATTCTTACCTAAACTGATCTATACTACTGGCAGCTTTGCGAACTCTCCCATACATTCCTGCCATGTTTGTATCCACGTCACTGAACAGGACAGGAACATTGCGCATACGAGCACCTTTTTGAAGGGAAAAAAGCAAAAAAACCTCATTAGTCTAAAACCAGCTAAGTTGTTGTTTAAGCAAAACCAATCTATAGTGTATAACAAAGAGAAAAAAATATAAAAATAGTAATTAGTCTGATTTGTTAGTACCATTTTTCTGGGGGCAGAGGAGTGTGTTTTGAGAGCAGTATTCTTGATGAACTTTGATAAACAGTCAAATGTTTCTTCAACTTAGTACATTTTTTAAATTTATTATAGTTCACTAGATGGACAACTTGATGCCAATTCTATCATCTAGTAATAATTCTAATATTAGGTGTATAAAATGAAGGATTTGATACTGTCACAGTTTCTCCATTTGCTTTTATTTCTCAGAGTAAAATTTTCATAGCATTTCTGATACTAACTTGAATATTCCAAAAATTTCTACTTTATTTACATTTTTACTATGTATCAACTAAAAAAAAAATTCTCAGATGTTGCCTTTGTGCAACTAAACTTACGCTTATTGAAGTTACCTAAAAACAAGTCAAAAGGAAATATATTTCAAATTTTCTAGTTCTCCTGCCTTATTTCTTTAAAAGTCTTTCATAAGCAGAAAAACAAAAGTCTAGATTGTCATTTTACACCTCTTAGTATTTGTCCATTGCTTTTAAAGTTACTTAGCATATATAAAAAATTACAAATTTTGACTTTGAAAAGTAACATCTCAAATCCATAGATCAATTGCTGAGGTTCTCCTACAGATACAGGATGATCTCAGCACAGCACAGACAAACCAACCTCAGCAGAACCACCATATTTTAAGCTGCTTTTCAAGAAAAACAGAAAGGAAGGAGGAAATCGATTCCAACCACAATTCTGATCAACTCTCAAAAGGAAGTGTCTCATTCTTGCTCACTTCTCAAACACTTTTACAAGGGAAGAGTTATATCCTGCTTCTGACATTCAGTTTAAACCCTAAAGGACAGATTTATTGGCACCTGTGACAGGAATTTTAAATACAGTTGTTCCAATAGAGCCATAGTACTAAGAATTAAAGATGAAATTTGCTTTATAAAGTTTACTTAAAGTCATTTACACACAAAACGTAGCTTCTACTTAACTATTTTTTATGCTACTGGCTGCTGTTGACAAGGTCTCCGGCGGAAGTTGCATATTTTCAGCATTTTTTTTTACTATAAACTCAGACTTTCAGAGAAAGACATTAGGAAACATAAAAGCCTGAACTGCAGAAAGGACAGAGTTTTAAGTATTACATTTCCTTATTTACCTTCAGCACTGTCAATGCCTGCCATATTAATGGAAGGTCCGTTACTACCAGTGCCTGGGGTAGCCTTCAGCTGTTGCTCGAGTCGTTCCAGTTGATAGACAAGTGAATTTTTCTCTGTGCTCAGGCTCTCTAACATGGTTTGCTTCTGAATTAGTGTTTCTGTCAGCTGATGAAGCCGATTTTCTAATTCTGTCTGACTACTACTACTCATAGCCTTGTTTGTCAGCTAAAAAACAAAACAAAGAAAAAAAAAATCAGAGTAAGTTCAAAGTCTGACCAACTAACACAATACAAAACTCTAAAAATCTATGCCCTCCAAGAACCAAGTTATTCCACTGCAGAATCTTTTACAAGTTAACGTTATCAAAATGGTCATCAATGAGTGTAATAAAGAACTTAATTTGGCCAGTTGCTAAAACAAGATTTTACACGACACAAGAAACTCTTTGTAAAAATGTATTCCTATGTTTTCCACCTCTAATCATATGAATATTTCTGTATAATCCTGAGTTTGATCACAAAAATCAATGCTACACCTCAGAGCTGAATTTAAATGGCAGACAACAAAATAGCAAGATAATCCAGTCTGGCTACCACACGTGCAACTTCACAAAAGAAGTGAGTATGCAAAATGTTTTCAAGTGAGGAAGGAAAAACTCAGTACAAACAAGCAGAATATGATGCCATTCTACAGAAAAGCTTGAATGAAAATGGTGAAAATGCAGGATACTTTGCAAAGAATTGAGGGGCACTGAGGCAGAAAACATGATTGTACTAGCAAAGAGAAACTACAAGGACAGCAAATGAAGACGTGGATCATATAATTCAATTTTCAGAAAATACTAAAGCAAATGGGAATCTCCAGATTAGCCATATGTGCAATAGCTCATCTATTCACTACAATCTTGGACTTCAGCCACTCGTAGCATCATATACCACAAAGATGTAGTTTCAATAATGCAATAACAGAATCAGCAGGAACCAGGACAGTGAGATATCAAAAAATACAAATTAGATGCAAGGCAATAGGGCACCTGCATGTAGTTTGAAGCTTGTATTACCAGAAGAATCATCCACCAACAGGCTCAAGAAATTTGTACACAACACAACAATTTCCAAATCCTCCGACACTATAACTGTAAAGCTGACTATTTTTCATTAGGCTAAGACAATTTACACAAAATGAGGCCTATGTACACTGTAACTCACTAGTGGGGCCTTTATGCTTCTTTTGTACAGTTTAACAGATTAATAGTTCTCATCACTGTTTTCATTATTGAAGGTGATAAAAGTTTTTTTCTATACACACAGAGTACCTGATTTCTGAGCTTCTGAATTTCTTCCTCTCTGTCTTTTATTCTGCTTTGCAAAGTATTCTTTGTTCGATACAATTCTTCTTCGGTATAATGGAGTTCCTATAAAATGTATTAAAATCGCAAATAAAAGATTTTATACATATATATAATTTTGAGACACATTCTCGTATCTAGAGTTTCACACTAGAACACAGGAAGGCAATATGGTGCAATCGAATATAAACTGGAATTTAATTTTAGTTAGATGTCTAACTAGGATGGGGAAAAAAACAAGAGATCTGAGCACGAAGACACAACCTCAAGACTTATCAAACTCTTTTGTGGAGACTGATCTAATGTAAATATTAATTCAGACTTGTTTACTAAGAGTCACACAATTTAATTAGGACCATGATTTCTCTTCCTTATACTCTCACCATTTATGACATTGCTACCTTGAAACGATGTCAATAACGTAACACAAACAATTAGGAAACATTTTGGAGGGGGATCTGTAGTGCTAAAATAAACCCATTAATCTGAGATACCATTTTTGAAGTGTTTAAAACCCCTTGGTGTATCTATAATTCTGTATGATACGGATCTTCCTTTAAAGATTAGGATAAATTAACGTAATAGAAAGGGAAAGGAATATTAGTAAGGGATAACTTACTGAACAGCAAATCTAACCATAAGTTTTGTTACTCCCATGGTTTAGTGGCTATTTTAACTCCAACTTAACGACCTGCCATGCTTCTCCTTTAAATTAAGACAGTCTTCAAATCACTGTATCACTTCAGCTGTCAGTTGCTATAGAAAACAGATAATCCTATTCTCCCTTCAAACTACAAGATGTACAAGAAATAACATGTCTACTTGCTTTCCATCTTCAGTCTCGGAAACCTTAGCACAACAGTTAAAGGAATTCCCAGACAGAACAGACCATAATTGTATTAAGTATCAGTGCACACAATTACTTCAAAACACATGTAAATGTGTCTCATCAAAAGGAATACTTCAGTTTATACTTCAGTAATAACTGATAATGCCTTTTTTTTTTTTGTAACATTCACCTCTCTTTCTGTATGTAGCGCTGACTTAAAATATACCCCTCAGAAGGGCAGGAGTAACAAAATACAATCTACCATCTGCTTTGATATAATAAACATCAGCTATCTATCAAGAGCAGACCTCGACTTCTGCCTTTTAATTAGTTCAAGCTGCTAGCATCTCATTAAAATGTAATTTCTGGAAGGACAGATAATCCTATAAGAGAAATTGTTCCTAGCAGATACAGTGTACTCTCCTGTTTTCCTCATTATCAATTCTCTCTAAGTTTTTTCTTACAGAGAAATTTTTTAATAGGGTACAAAGCGTTTGTCTGATTTCTACTGAATAATAAGTTTGTTCACCTGATATATGAGCTTGCCTTTTTTCCTCCCTCTTTTTAACACAAAACTGCTTAAATCAAGGGTGAGTTTGCTTAAAAAGATGACATCAGCTGACAAAATTCATTAATATAACTTTATCAGCGATGTGTCTTAAGGAGCAGTTTCGAAGTAACAACATTTAGATTCAGAAATGAGTATCAAGTGGATTAAAAGAAAATAATCTATGAATTGGTACTAAAATAACATTGGTTTATGAGCTAAATTTTATGTAGTAATTGAGCACAGGAAGTTTCACAGTAACCATTTCTAGTAGTTGAGTTTCTTGATATAAATAATGGTTACAAATGTTACTATATCCCTATTGTTTGATTGTTCCCCTGCTGAATAACGTTTAAGACCATTATCAATTTTGTACACTCCCTAGGGTCATGTTTATTCTTTAATACACCAGTAAGACCCCTCTTGATCAGGAGTATCCAGTACTAAGCAATGGACAGGGTCTTCTGGTTGCGCTTTGTCCTAGTGACATTCATTAAGCTTTTGGGGATTTCTTGGGAATGCTAGACACAAAAAAAAACCCTAGATGCTGTATAAGCTACTCTCTTATTAAGCCAAATGCTTTACTGATGACATTACATGATACCTAAACTAAGACCTTTCAGCTTTCAAGAATTTCTTACCTGCTTTTGCCGTTCTAGTTCAGCTTCTGTCTCTTGTTTGGCCATTTTATGTGCTGCTATTTGCTCTTGTAGGTCCTGAAGCTGCTCTCTCACTGACTCAGCTTCACTTACCTGCTGAGTCTCCATATCCTGGAATGAACAGAAATGTTACCATCTCACTAATGTTCAAACAATACTGCAATCTGTAACAGCAAAACAAAGTTGTATCTGCAATATTGCTTCAAAAGGAAAATGAAGGTGATGGCGTATTGAATAAGTGATATTTGGTGGTTTTATACAAAGTATTTTCACTAATGCCGTAATAAACCAAATGCATTTTGTGAACATGAAAAGCCTCCACTTTTTCCCTCTACTGTCTACAAGCTGAAACCGTGTGAAGCAGGCTTGCGTGCAACTGCTGGGCTGAGCCAATTATGCCAGCAGACGACTGGGATTACGGCTCTTCAAGGATTAGCAGCCCTTGAGGGAAGGGATATAGGTGATCTCTACAGAATCACCAGACTTGTTTGGAAAGAAACGTTCCCCTCAAAAGGAGCACACAGTAGCAAGGGAAGAGAGAAGTGGCATTTATAGTATTCCTCCCACACAACCTGAAGTGGTGAGAGAGAAGATGGAAAGAAATCAGGTATCAATAAGCGTTTGTCTCATCTTGAGCAAAAGCTGGTTAATTTTAATACTAGGTCAAATAAACACTAGAAGGAACAGCACCAAAGTATACAAGGAAACAGTCCTTTGTGCATGGTTAACTAACTACAAATACATGTGTACACAATCACAGCTACCTGCAGCTCTGTTCTCAGCTGTTGGATTTGCCCCATTAGCTTTTGTATTTCTTCTCTCTGAGTGTCTCGCTCGTGTCTCAGTTCTTCCAGTTCCATTGTGCTTGCAGCATTGCTATCCAGGCCTTCAATACCAGAGCCTTCTTTTAAGCTGTTTATTAACTTTTCTTTAGACTGAAATAATAAACCAATATATTATTTATTGCAGTATTTAATAAGTGCTCAACTAGAATATACCAAAATTACTTTGCTCTAAAATTCAAATGTAGACATACAGTAAAAGAACTGCTTTATCTGTTCTTCTAGCCAAGTCAATAATGAATGAAATTAAATTCAAATAAAAATACTTCCCCACTGATAATTTTTCTGACTTCCTGTATGCCATGAGACTAGATTTACTGAAAACCGGTGTTATCTTAGGAAGAATACAGCTTTTCTCTTTAGAAGTGCCTGGAATGTCAAACATGACCCAGACCACAATTTTGACTTTCCAGATACCATAAGAGAGAAGACAGACACTAACATCAACTAAAAACAAAACTGACCCCCTTTCAGTCCATCCTTTCCTGGGCCAACAAAACCAAGTAAGAGCCAAATACAGCAATAATTCTTCTGGGAAAGAGGATGAATCATTTTATTCGGAGCCAACCTGATCTCAGCTCGACATTGACTTCTGATCTCATGCTTCTCATATTTATCAAGACGACTTAAAACCTGTCCTTGGTTATCAGACTAAATTACTTATTCTAAACAGACAAGTTCATCTTCAATATTTTGCTAACTTTTATAAACAAGACTCAAATTGATCACTTTTGGATTTGGTATATTTGACTACTTAAGTAGCACAGAACTCTGCATAAAATACCTAATTTTGCCATTGTTTATATAATGCTGATCACATATAAACTTTCAGGATACATAAAAATACTTCCTTTGGTTTACACATAAGAATCCTTTATACACTATGCTTCAGCCTCAAGCAGAAGAGAGCAATATTCTTGACTCAAGAACACTGGGTGTGGGACCAATTGTAGGCTACATCTATTTATCCATCTGCCTAAGATTAGGCTCTCAGATGCAGAACACACTGATGGATGCTGCATAATAAGTGCAACAGTTCACCTGGATTTTTCCTTAAATTCAGGACCTGAACTTCCATTTCAATTACTTAAATCAATCTGTAAACTTCAATTTACAAAATAAAGACTGGTAGCTGTTCTTTATAGGCATCATTATAGACATGCCCCCAAATATATTACAGGTCACATGAAAAAAGAAACCCACAAATTGGATTATTTGAAGGATAACACCTTAAAAAAGTTCAGGTAAGTGTACAAATCAAGCTGGATTTCTTTACAAAAATGCTTACTTGGAGTATGCGAGTAGCTTTCTGTTTATAGTCTGCCAGTTCCTGTTTTGCAGATTCTAGGTGGTTTTTAGTTATTTTGACTTGTTGCTGAAGCTCATCAGCTCTCCTCTTTTCATCTAAATACTTTCTTTCTGCTACAGTTATTCCTTCTGCCAAGTTCTGACGCTCTGCTTCCATTTTACTTAGACGAGACGCAAACTCATTCTATGAGCAATAAAGAAACAATACTTTGTGTTTAAACACAGTCTCAACTTTAACCTAGAAAGGAAAACAGAAAGTTTAAAAGCAACTACACATGACACAACACCTTTGACCTACCACCTCCAACTTAAAGATGCATTAGTGCTATGTGGAAAGAAATCCTGCTTGCTTAAGCAAGAACTAAATAATAACATTAAAAATATGCATTTCTTCCCACCACCAGAAATACCGAGGGAATAACAATCTTTCTATTATTTACATTTGGCAAAGAAAAAGCAAGCTTTCCCCTCAAAAAATATTATCAAATGTAGTCTGCCATATTTTGATGTAAAAAAAACCCAAGCCAGACACTGATAAATATTTTCAAAGATGCTACTATACATAATAAAAGCCAAGCTAAGTGTGGAAAGCAGTCTCTGGCAATGATGTACTCACATATTTACCACACAAGTTATTGTCCAACTTAATGTTCTTAAGATATTCAAATTGTGTAACAATCTGTTGTGCAACAACATAGCATGGAAAATTAAATCAATTGCTGCCTTAGTTTTAAAACACATTTTAACATTAAAGATGGCATTACAAAAAAACAGTAAAAATTATCAGCATTAATCCTCTAAAACTTTTGATTACGAAGCTTTCAAAATAACATATAAAAAGTAAACCAGTATCACAAGGATACTTAGTGCAGCAGACAGCACATCCTTCAACCACTTAGTGTCCTGAACAGTAACTGAAGTCAAGGGGAAGAGAGCGCAGTTGGAACCTCACAGATTTGACCTCAAAAGTGGAGCCTGAAACTGTTCCTTACTCTTCATGTCTAACCTGCATTTGTTTGTAACTTTCTTGCTCTCGCTTGAGTGCGGAGTCTGCATCATGCAGCCTCTCCTGAAGAGTTTGAAGGGCTTGATTTTGCAAACTGCTCCCTTCACTGTGGTCTTGAATTATCCTGAAAGAACAATATACATATTAATTGAAAAAGAAGAAAACTAGTGTGATTTTCAGGTAGAAATAGGATGACTTGGTTTACAAATCAGCTTTGAAAATTTACCCAGCCATACTGAGTATGGCTGGTTACAGGTGTGAGGAGTTAATGGCTCACGCATCTCCCCCCAACCTATATTCTGGAACATCCGATTGTTGATTCATATCCCAGTGCTGAGATGTCACAAAAGTCTTCGAATTTGTGGATAAGTAAATGTATTTTTCAAGAGAAAAACATTTTTCTCGAGAAGTTCAGCTTCAGGTCTCTGACACAAACATGAATACTTTATACAAAACGGATTTCAATAATTAGGTGACAATTGCCCCTATTTAATACTCAATTGCCCTGTTCCCACTGCCAGCTATGAATATAGCAGGCTCAGAACAAACTTTCATCCTCATATTTCAAATCTTGATACCATCCCTTTCCCCATTAATTTATTTGTTTTTATTCTTGAAGAGACTAAATTATCTACCTTGAATTTTCAATCTTATTATTATTTGCAGAATTACGAAGTATGAAATCATGAAGTACCGTGATTTTTCACTCTGCAATGCTTCCAAAGCTTCTTTCCGAGCACTTAGGAGCTGATCAGCTTCTTGCAGCCGTACTTTCAGCACAGCTAGCTGTGAATCCTTGGCACCAACAGCTTCTGTCAGATCATCAACTCGAGCTCGAAGTTCTCTAACCATCCTGTCATTCTTTGAATGGTCCACATTCCACTTCTCAACCCTTTCCCGGGATTTGTTCAATTCTACGAAACAAGAAATTTCTTTGAAGTTTACAAAAGCAAGGCCCTGTAAATGGCCAGGATGCACACACCACATTTCTTACAGAAAGAAATTAAATACAAGTTGAACTAGGAGTGAAACTTCATGAGCTACCAAGAAGTAACAAATGCCAGACTGGCTGCAGAGCACAACCCATAAAATTTTGCAGGTGATCTCAAAACAGGCATTGCACTTTGTGTCACACTGCAGATGACTGACAAATTTTACCTGTCCCACGCCTTGCAATGGCCAAGTGTTGAATACCCCTGTGTGAACTAGCCTTTGGAAACCTCTGCATACAGCACTTAGTTCAACACAATGTGACAATGAGCTCAACAAAAAAAAAAACCAGTAGAAAAACATACCAGTCTTGAAATAACGCCTGAATACTTACACAGGCTTCTGGTTTTAATCAAACATCACATATTAAACTTCAATGGAAATTACAATTCTCTGGCTTATATGGTTACTTCGAAAAATATGCAGTCCCTCAGTTGTATGCCTAACAGCAGGACTTTGCTCAAGGTTTTATCATTAAAGTGTTTAATTTATATTCACATTTTTTATATTTGCCATTTCATTAGGCTTTGAAAAAGCTAGTGAATTCATACAAAAATATTAAATTTTATATTTTTACTGTCAGTTTCTAGACATCAGAGATTATAGCCTACAGCCAGAAAACAGTCAGATTTTGAAGTATTTAAAGGAATTTACTTATTTAAAAGTAAGTATTTTGCAGTAGCCATTAAAATGCAGGAAAAGTATTTTATGACTGATAAGATTTTCCAACGCTATTTTAATATGATATAAGTTTTGGAACTAACTTGATTGCATCACTTAATTGACAGGTGTGTTATCTTTTTAGTTGAATAAACCTTTTAGTTTTTTCCAGCTCATTATTCTGAGACCAAGAATCATTTTGCTTGGTAAGTCATACATGCAAATTTAACTAGAAAGATTTTACTACGAATAGAAAACACTAACATAGAATAGCATTGGTTTTTAGTTCACTAGCATTTTAACAATATGATACAGTTGAGCTTCCAAACCCCAATACCTTCTTGTGTTTCTTTGGACCTCTGAATTAATGAAGCCATTTCTTGATTTAAAGATTGAACTTCATTCCGCAGCAGCTGATTCTCCAGACGAAGATTGGATAGCTCATGTGATTTGCAATCGTCATTAGCTGAAAGGCTGGGATTAGTTACTGCACTTTGGGATGAATCCTTCACGCCATCACCTTGTGCTCCCAGTCGAGAATCTGAACTGTCTGGAGTTTCTGTACAGAGAGATGCAAGTTAGAACTAATATATGTATAAGTTGCCTTAACGTAAACAGCAATTTCATGTTCTACATCAGCGGTTAAATGAATTAAAAAAAAAAAGTAACAACAGCTCATATTGAAATGGAACATGGAACAGCTTCTCCCAAAGGACTTGCACAAAATAGGACTATTATATAGTATACATGCATCATGCAGTGCTTTTGTGAGAGATGCAAGTTAGAACTAATATATGTATTTATAAGTTGCCTTAATGTAAACAGCAATTTTGTATTCTACATCAGCGGTTAAATGAATTTAAAAAAAAAGTAACAACAGCTTATATTGAAAAGGAACATGGAACTGCTTCTCCCAAAGGACTTGCACAAAATAGGACTATTATATAGTATACATGCATCATGCAGTGCTTTTGTTAATCTTGCAAGACAAGACATGGAAGTTATAGAAATTCCTATTACGTTAATGTCAAATTCAAAATTTTAAAACTTTAATACTTTTTTATGACTATGTTGCCCAGAGATGTCTTCAGAAGATGAGACAGTAACAGAAGAGGTTACATATACATAGAAACTAACTAGGGGAATTTTTAGTACAAGTTCATCCTAGTTTTCCATTATGATTTTGATTTCGAAGATGTAAACTTTATTTTTAAAAAAATCTCTTCAGATGGCTACACTTATTTTGGTATCAAACCTAAATATATAACTCAGCCACATAGCTACGTATTTTAGTTATCTTTATGTAAAAAAGCATTTTAAGAATAATTTCAGTCTACACTTATTTTGGTATCAAACCTAAATATGTAACTCAGCCACATAGCTACATGTTTTAGTTATCTTTAGGTAAAAAAGCATTTTAAGAATAATTTCAGCAAAACATCATCTTACTGATAATTCTGTATTAATAAACCTCTCAAAATATTTTTTCAAAAGCACTTTTACTATGAGAAATGAAGCTGCAGTGATTTGAAACAGAAACATGATCTTTCCTTTCTCTAATGAAAAACTATGAAGTAGATACACTCTGTCAAACTGTTAGAAGCTTTCTGTCAACACAAACTCTAATTCTTTAGATTATGGAAACCAAAACACAGGTTTTTTGTTTTTCTTTTTTTTTAAATCTTAGAACCTCAGTGGGAACAGTAAGGGAACTCCTGGCAGTATTCTGAACTTGCAGGGAGGGAGGAACGCACAGCCTTTCCCCATCACACACAAACACACAGAGTGCCCCTGATTACTGCTGTGAAACTGATACACCCACTGTAACTGTCTTGATTTCAGCATTCAGACAGTTAGCAGCTTTGCAGCAGGGTTAAGATGAAACAACATAGTACGCAATAAGCAAACAAGCAGGCTATCCATAAATATTCCTTCTAAATTTACTGACCCAGATGAGTAACTGCTGAAAATCCAGGGGGACAGACTGCAACTAATTCCAAGCAAGACCGCAGTTCAGCTGTCGCAACGTTCTTTACTCCACCTTGTGATCACCAACCAACCTGCTCCACCTCCCTTGTTACCACTGCAACAGCTCCTGTCACAGCCTTTCCCCATCACACACAAACACACACAGAGTGCCCCGGATTAATGCTGTGAAACTGATACACCCACTGTAACTGTCTTGATTTCAGCATTCAGACAGTTAGCAGCTTTGCAGCAGGGTTAAGATGAAACAACATAGTACGCAATAAGCAAACAAGCAGGCTATCCATAAATATTCCTTCTAAATTTACTGACCCAGATGAGTAACTGCTGAAAATCCAGGGGGACAGACTGCAACTAATTCCAAGCAAGACCGCAGTTCAGCTGTCGCAACGTTCTTTACTCCACCTTGTGATCACCAACCAACCTGCTCCACCTCCCTTGTTACCACTGCAACAGCTCCTGTCACCCAGAGCCCAGGGAGCTGGGGCAGACTATTAATTCTGAACATCATCACACTAACAACTAGCAGCAGTAAAAAGATTTCTTCCACATTTTCTCAAACCCTTTCCTATTTAAACAGTTCTAAGAAGTGTAATTTCCTTCCTTTTGATTAATTTACACAATTTCCAAATTAACAGTTTATCCTTGATCTGTTGTCTGGAAAACTCAATAGACTAATGAAGCTAACAAAGCAAGAAATTAGCCATTTGTAATACATATTAGATTACATCCACGGCAATGTACAAAGGATAACGTTAACTGGTTTTGTCTATAGTTAATGTATCATAAACTACTTCAACAGATGCTGTACAGAACATTTAAATCACACAGACATATCTATGCAATCAACTTTAAAACCAGTGTGCTCAAACTCTATGTTGTAATTGTGTGCTTCCTCACTTGGCAGCTCCACAATGCAAACTCCACTCAAAAATCCTCAGAAGAAAATTCTGAGCAAAGAAAATACTGAGCAAAGCAACTGTGTTCCTGAAGCACTAATCAGCAAGGCAATATAGCGAGGTCTAACTTATTTGAATTATTATTAGTAGTGGTAAACCTTATTGAAAAGATAGCGAGGTCTAACTTATTTGAATTATTATAAGGAGTAGTGGTAAACCTTATTGAAAAATACAGGCCCAGAAACAAAACATTCACATCTTTGGAAATGATCCCTTTTTACATCTAAAGCTGTCCAGCATACTTCATAGTAAGTAAAAAACTGGCATTTACAATGATTTACATGCTCAAAGTACTGAATAAATAATAACGTATTCTAACTACACTATTTGGAAAAAATATAACCATTTTCTTCAATTTTATAGAATAAACAACAGCAAAGTAACACAGCAACAGCAAGGACTGAGTATAGACTGGACAGTCTGATAGAAAACACAAGTTCCTGACACTTCCCAGCCACACTGTCCTTTGTGTTGACTTGAGAATAGCCCCAACTTTTGTCCATCTGGCCTGGAGGCTCTTCCAGGTGTCCAGATTTATACTGCAGTTAATGACACTTCTGGCAAAGCAAAAGGCTTTATCTATCCAGCTCTCTCATGCAGATAGTTCCACAACAGCCTGTCTTCACAATCAAATTCCCACTCTGCAGGACAAGCAAGTTAAACAGCTTACCCTTCTTCCATGGTGGAACAGAGAGAACCTCACATCACCTCACCTGGTGCATTGGGCAACAGCCAACACCATCTACCAGCCAGTGAAAGTCACTCACTCTCCTACATGGCAACAACAGGTAAGGGGCCCTGAGTGATCAAACAAAGTCAGCAGTGCCTGTGCTTCTAAGCAGGGATGTATGAGAGCTGACACAAGGTTAGGTCATGGCTCAGGGAGGTCAAGGTGAGCAGCAGCAATGAGGTAGATCAAGAAAACAAAAGATTTAGGTATTAATTATGCAGCTTGTCAAATTAGCATGGTATCAAAGATTATCCCAGTGACGAAAAAAAAATAGTTAAAGACCCTGCTGTATTCCACACATTTGACATACTGCTACCACTAAATGTTTCATGAAGTGACAGTAAATCCATTACCTAGCCTTACCCTAGACACATTTGGGTTTTAAATATCTCTAGGTTCAATACTATTTAACTACCATTGCCTTGGCTCCTGATGGAATTATCTTCAGTAGTTGTTGCACTCTGTGTACTTGTAGACACAGAACTAATGCTTGAAGTCCGAGAGTGATTTTGAAGAACAGGTGCCTTGCTCTTCTCTTTTTTAGAGTCCATCCTTCCATTAGGCTCTTTCTCCGAACTGTTGAGAAAGTCAAATAGCAATTCATCATCAGGTTCAGACTTTTTTCTTCTCACAAAATGTGAGGTAGCTCTGGGTGTGGAAACACTTTCTCCTGGAGAAGCAACCTCCGAAGATGTCCTACGTGCTGGCTTAACATTTGCTGTTCCTGCTAGGATTGTGGCCTTCTGATGTTTAATATTATCAGCTGCTGAGGAGATGAAGGCTGGTTTGGATGATGTCTGATATTTCAGTTCTCCACTATGCTGGTGCAATTCAGAATATTCATTTCCAGAGTCCAAATTCCTATGATCATAAACTGCACTGCTTGCTGTGTCTTTTTTGCTCAGAGCAGATGCAGCTCCTTGATCAACTCTGTTGAGCAGATCTTCTGCCTTTCCAGCGAGATCAGCAAGCCAAGACATGATGGATGACAGCTGATAAACTCTAAAAAATTAAGATTTCAGGACCATATGCTGCAAAAGACATGGAATAATTACAAATCAGACTGGTGTTGATAAGGCAAGATACATGGGTTACCTAAACAATTGTTCTGTTAATCTGTTAGTGCCATAATTATTTTAACAGGTTTCTGCTGCTCACTTGGTATTTTGCTGTTTTGGTAACTGATGGAAACAAACCCAATCAGTTTCTGAGAAAAACAGACAAAACCAAGGCTTAGCTATCAGGCCACCGTATCTGTTTCTGGCATCAGCACCAGCTACATAGAATCCAGCCTGCTAGCCAATCTGGAATGATAACAGATAATAAAGTTTACTTGCACCTGACAAAACCAAACCCCATTGGAGGAGGAAAAGTGGCCAGATAACTGTTACAGTAACCAATAACAACACAGCCTTAGATGTTTGGCCTACAGATTCACAGGCTGGGTCAGATGAACTTCTCCCCAGCGAACTGCAGCCTTCTGTGACACCAAGAAGGTGGACAGGAGCAGGCCATCACTCCCACCCAGGGCCTGCAAGACCACACGGGTAACATGTGTGCCTCCACCTCAGCTCCCGGGAAGGGCCCCTTCACCCCAGGGCGGGTTTGTGGAGGGTCCCTTGGCCCTGCACATCCACGGGTGAGGCCTGGCCAGCCTGCTAGCCAATCTGGAATGATAACAGATAATAAAGTTTACTTGCACCTGACAAAACCAAACCCCATTGGAGGAGGAAAAGTGGCCAGATAACTGTTACAGTAACCAATAACAACACAGCCTTAGATGTTTGGCCTACAGATTCACAGGCTGGGTCAGATGAACTTCTCCCCAGCGAACTGCAGCCTTCTGTGACACCAAGAAGGTGGACAGGAGCAGGCCATCACTCCCACCCAGGGCCTGCAAGACCACACGGGTAACATGTGTGCCTCCACCTCAGCTCCCGGGAAGGGCCCCTTCACCCCAGGGCGGGTTTGTGGAGGGTCCCTTGGCCCTGCACATCCACGGGTGAGGCCTGGCAGGAGGGCGACGCTCAGGGTGGCCTCTGCCTCCCCCACCCCTCACCCTTCCTCTCTCCCTCTCTACCCAGCTCAGCACGGCCGCCTGTCCCCCAGCCCTACCCGGCAGCCTTCAGGACGGACGGAGACCTCAGCACAGCCCGGCCCTCACCTCCTCCCAGCGGGGGAAATCTCCAGGCCGAGGGGGAGAGCCGTGAGAGGAGCGGGGTACAGCAGCAACCCCTGCCAGGCCCCGAACCGGGCTGAGCGGTGCTAGCCCATTTTCCGGCAGACGTGGCCGCGCTTCCGGTACGCGAGACGCAGGCGCCGGCGGAGACGCGTGACGTGGAACGTCGCGTCACGCCCCGCCCATGGCGCGGGTGTTGCTGTGGAGCAGGCCCCCTAGGGGAGGGGCGGAGTCGGTGTCCCGGGGGGGGAATGCAGGCCCACTGGAAAATAGCACCTTGGCCTTGATGTTGCCAATAATTTACCGAAATTTCGACCAGAAGAAACTCTGCTGGGCACTTCTGCACAACTTGGGGAAGATGTGAAAGGAATCGCCTCCTGATCCTCAAAGGTAACTGCAAGATAGTAAGCAGCGTGGGTATAAACACTCATGATATAAACACTCCATCCCTCCAACAAATACAAATAACTGAAGGTGTATTTTTAGCCTCCTGGATTCACAGAGCTTTTATCAGAAGCTTTAATGTCTAGGCTCAGCCTCATCTGTTGCAACAATCCTTCCCGTATATTTGTCCTGTATGATAATACTAATACCACCTTGTTGCTGCTGAAAATACTTAAAAGGTGCTGTGCAAGCAAAAGTGTCGCACTTGGTTATCAGGTACTGAGGTTGTCTCTAACTTTTTTTTCTGATTAAGTTCATGTAAGATATCATGACTAGTTTCAGAAGAGATGTTAGTTGAGATTAACACAAGGGTTTAACTCCTTATAAAGGAGTCCCTTCTGGGACCAATAAAGATATAATCAAAGTACTAAAGACTGGATTTTTTCAGTCTTTGGTTTCCCTTCCACAAAACCTTTCAGGATTTTCTCAGGTCGTTTCCTGATGACCAATTCAAGTGCCTCATTTCTGCTTTCCTTTTTCAAAGCCCCGTGATTTAGAGGGGTGCGACAAAAGAAGGGTGCTTGCACACACCAAGCCAAGGGGCTTGGCATAAAGACCATGCTCAGCACTCTTTTTGGATAGATTAACACTACTAAGTAAGTTTTCCCTCCACCCAAGAAAGAAAAAAAAAGACTAAAACCCGAATAAAATTCTGCTCTAACAGTGAGTGATACTCCTGAATATTTATTAGCATTAATTCTATAAAAGGAACATTCAGAAGGAAGGAAGGATTCTGGCTTTTATGGCAGATAAACAGGAGACTTTTACCATGGCTTTGTGCATATGGAGTGAACTAAACAGCAAGTAACTTTTAGCTAATTTTAGAACAGTTTTTGTAGTAGGGTGAGATGAAAAGAACACTTCTCTTGTGATGTTGTTTTGCCTATCTTGAAGTTACTGTCCTCGTTAGCTGAAAGGGGAAGTGGAGCCCCAGACATCTATTTTGCATATTAAGCACATGATGGTGAGTGAAGAAGAAGAAAAACAAAACTTCTTGTGCAAGGCTGTCTTGCAACTTCAGTTATCTGATAGGTCAGCTAAGGCAAAAGCTGCAAGAGGAAGTTTCAGGAATTCACATGCAAAAGAATAGGAATGGATCTTCTTTCACAGTTGCTCAAGTCCTAAAAGAAAATGTATAATATGGCAAATTCCCTTGACAAAATAAACTTCATGTTTACTCACTCTTAGCAAGTAAGTCTACTCTGACTCAGAGACAGTAGTTTAAGTAATTTTCAGTCAATGTTTCAAGTCAAAACCTTTTGGTTGATGTCAGATATATATGTGAGATCTCAAGATGCTTCTCACATTCTTGTCCATGTCCATTTTACTATTTAGACTCTCTCTAAGAATTTGAATGAAGGCACTTGATGAGTATTGTTTAGAGGGACTCCCACGCTGTGGATGTCCCCATACTCATGACTGCAACTTCTTTCCTTCTCATCAATTGTTACTCAGTGTACCAAGCCCTTTCGAGCTTTACGGCTCTTATTTCTCTTCTGTAATGCCTATTCTTAGGAAGGATAGTTGTTAAAGTGTACATAATATTAGGCTGGGGGGTTGTTTTTCTTTTTCCCACCCTCCCTCTTTATTTGTTTCTTCAGTCTTCTATACCAGCACATTGCAACTAACCACTATTCAGATACTTTCTCCATGGAGAACTTCTACTAATGCCTGAGGTACCAGCCAGAATGTGAATGAAGACAACACTTACAGCTCCTGCCACTTCAGATCCTCCTTGGTGGAGGACCTCTTCTCCTCCTGAGTTTCTGATTATAATACTGAATGCATGTTTGGTGGCTTACATCCATGTTTCCCCTGTTTCCCCAGAGCTCTAGGTGTCATCTTGTCATATCACACCTTATAAGTATTCCCTAATTAAATTCAGAAGTACACTGAATGTTATTATCAAGTAGCCTCCTTTGGTTTTCTGAAGTTTCGTTACATCTTATCATGGTAATGCTCTTCCTGTGGGGAAGGTTTGGGAAGAGCTCCTGTGTATGACAAAGACTCCAAAATGTTTGTCTACAGATATGAATTATTATTTGGCCTCAAGGAGGAGACATCAGTCCTGCTGTCTGTTCAGAACACACTCCCTGCACTAGTACTGGGGTGAGTTAATAGAAAATCCATGCTGCCTCATGATCTATTAAGCAACACATTGGAAATAATAAACCAAATGAATTTGTAACCTTCAACTTCTACATCATGTGACTCAGCTGCACATAATCATCATTTCAATTAATGTGAATATATCACCTCAGACACTAAGGAAAAAACGGTTCAGGACTCTACAGAAGTCCAAAAATACACAGGGTACGTTCTTTTCACATAATATTTGAAACCCGACAACCAATGCCACCGGTGCGGATGGGAAGCTTACCTAGACCACTCAAGTTAATCATAACATCCTAGAGCTAAAGGCATTTGCAGTATGTGGCACAGTTGTTTTTAAGTGTTACAGTATGATCTGTTCAGATTTCAACAGGAAATGGCACAATTAATTTTCATGTAAACCAGTAAGAAAGAGGATTTTTTTTAAGAGGCTGTATTAATTACAAATTAATTCTAGTTTTATTCCACTTCTTTGGTTTTCAAAACACATTAAAAATCCCCTCAGTGGAAAATTCACATGTGATTGTGAATGTTTGAACTATTAGATCATTGAAGACCAAAGTGACAGGAACAGATCCATCTTCAATGTTGGAAAGAAACAGGAAGGGCCAAAGCTAATGCCCTGGATTATCTCTGTTTTTTTACAGAGGATACAGCCAAAGCATATTTCAATCCAGAAAATATCTAATTAAATCACTGCGTCTAACAAGCTTTTATCTGCATTAGTTGGAGTCTGAAAACCTTTTTAGGTTTTGAAGTTCTTGATGTTCTCAGGTTGCAAGGATTTGCAGGGTGGCAGGGAAGAAAGGGGACAAAAAGAGAACTTGCTGTGTGTTTTGCTGACCTATTGTAACATCCCTTATGTCTGCTGTTAGAGCTGCTTCCAAGCATCCTGTAACTGCTAGACTGTGGTGAGAATATTGAATTCTGTCACAAGGGGCATACAGCTTCATTAACTACCACTTTACAGGTGCTTTTCCAGTTTACAGGTTCCCTGCCCGGAGTCCAAGCTGTGATCTGATGTGCTACATGGGCTGCCACATAGCTCAAAAGGTTCTGGCTGCAACCATGAAAAGCAGAGATTTCTATCTAGCTGTAGATGAAAAATTGGACTCTCTGTACAAAGCCGCTAGATCCCTATTCATATTCAAAGTAGAAGGGATTTTTACCAAGATTTTCCACACATTAATTTTTCCTATTATAACTCTCATTGTAAGGAGATTTAAATAACAAAACTAGAAAATATCTGCCACACTATATCACAGCAAGATCAAATCACTTCCTCAAAATTTATTGCAAGAAAACAATCGGAGCTTTAGTTTTCAGTTTTTTTAATGACAAAAGAGCCAGTTTTTGCAGCTGACAACGCTATTTTTTTATAAAAATTACCATTTCCTACTTTGTGCAGATTACCAGGTTTTTTATTGTTCAGGAGGGGAAATTGTTAGGCAGCAGAGGCACAATGGATTGTTTTCCTGGTCATACGACTTGTACTTGGAAAGTTAATGATTCTCTTTTCTAAGTATATTGAAATAGGGCTTTAGCAGTTATTTTCTCTAGTAAAATGTGAAGAAGAACATAAAAATTGCAAAATACAGCAACAAAAAATAAAGGTCAGTCATGTCATCTTGAATCAGCTTTCTTTTGCATATGTGTCATGCTGTATTATTACACAACTACTGAAGTCTTTGCTCCCTGCAGTGTATTGAAAACATATCAAGGATTGGAAAATGACGTGGTGGTCAATGGATGAGCTGTCATTTCTTATACTTGTATTTCATTCTCAACATTCAGCGTGCGGCCTCATGCCGTTCATCCCTTAAATGCCTCACTCATCTCGCCCCCTCAGTTTGGTGGCTGTTGTCTGTGACTGAGGGTGGGCAGTGACATCGGTTACTGCAGGACGAGCTGAGGTGAGAAGTTCCAGCTCTGCACTACCTGCCCGTGTCCCCACGTGGACTCTGTGCTAAATGAGGGTGCCTAACCTCTGCCTTTAGCGACCTCCCCTGACCTCACCTACGCTTCCAAGTAAGGCAGCGTGCACTCAAGCAGTCACGTTACCTGTGACAGGCCAGTCGCACACCCACAGCCTTGGATCTGAGGCAAGTGGTGTTACTTTCTTCATGTTCCAGATGGGGAATAGAGGTAGAGGAAGGAGGAACTAAAAATGAAGTTCCTTTCCACGCCTGAACAGAGCAAGCAGGTTTGGTCTTGTCAAAATGTACAAACGCTGGGGACAGATCATGCTCAGTGCTAATTACTTATTCAGAAAATTTTAATTACCAGCCTTCAACATACTTCTGGGTTTTGAAGGTATGTAACTTGTCCAGATGTGACTGTCCTCTCACAAATGAAGCAAAAAGTCATAGCCATGGTTCAAACATAATTCCTCTTGGTTATATTAGTGCAGCTGTGCCAGTCAGAGCACAAAGCCCTGTCTGAAAGTGGCCTGGGGCAGGTGATGAGCAAAGCTATGTGAGCAGAACAGGAGATACTTCTCAGCTGTGTTCTCCCTGGGATTTTGATGTAGGGACTTCCAGAGCCAGAATTGGTGTCTTTGCATTTAAAAGGCTTTCAAAGGCCTTTTTTCTTTTAATTTCTTTAATAATGAACAGAATTTTTCAAAGCATTATAAGTACAAGAGCATCTCAGCTAGAGAATTTGTAAACAGAGGCACAATTCTGTTTCCTTTGCCCAAGGAATCTTGCAAATACTAATTTGATATTGAGTAGCAGAACAGGAGATACTTCTCAGCTGTGTTCTCCCTGGGATTTTGATGTAGGGACTTCCAGAGCCAGAATTGGTGTCTTTGCATTTAAAAGGCTTTCAAAGGC